TATATTTTTAGCTTCTTTTTATATAACAGAAAAAAAGAACGTTTCTAACAGACTTCGATAGAAAAAACTTCTCAATTTGGTTGTATTTTTTTTTATGTTTGTTGTCTTATAATTTTATTAGTTGTAAACCGATTTGGAATTTTTTTTTTTCACTAAACAATAGAATATACTTACATTGATCCTATAGAAATTTTATCAAATTTGGTTTAGTAGTTTAATTTTATATTTATATATCTGTTTTCAAAATAACTGGTTTTACCAAAATTTTAGTAGATTTTTTTATGGAACACAATTTATTATTTACCACTAATACATTTACCTAATATAAAATGCTACATGATGAGGAAGAAGAAAAAATAACGTATAATGGCACTATTATTTAAATTTTACTTTATGACTATTGTACGCGATCATGTCGCCAATTCTAAATCCATCTTGATAATGATTTTTACAGTCGATAGAATGTAATCCCTTGTTGTTCCGTGTTAATTTTATGGTAAGGTCAACCGAGGCAAGTGTGACAGTGAGGCAAGTGTAACAATTGGTAATAATAGGGTAAATAGACTATATTCTTCAAACCGTCATGTATTGGACGATAAAGGAACTTTCAAGCTATCTTACAGTGTCACAATGGCGTACGTAACGTCAACTGTTTTAAAGACAGACAACATTTTGTCTAACTACTCAACTGACAACAGATCGCATTCCATTCAAGCATTCTGTTTTTAGTTACTGTGTGAAGTTTACGAGTTATTTCGACAAGATAAAAGGTAAGTCATACAAATTAATATTAGGGCTTTACATTTAATATGTCTTTGTAAACTGAAATCCACTATTCCTTAAAATATCTTTACAGTTACACTTACCTCGCTAAAAAACTAACATGTTCAAGTGTAACAGTGTCACGCTTACCCCACTCATTTTCTATGAGAATAACATAACTAGTAATGAACATCTCGAAATAGAATATCGACATTTTTATAAATCGACTTAAAAGAAATTAGGTTATCGATAGTATTTACATAATTTATTTGTGTTTACGTTCTTTCTATGATAATTTATTTGTTTTGTTTTAAATCGTAAGGAACTATGTTAGAAAAACTATCGACAAATACTCTTAGGAAATATTGGAGGAGGCTGTCAAAGCAGTACAGGAGCAACGTATAACGGCGTATAAAGCTGCAAAAATTTTCGGTGTCCCTAGACCCACTATAATTGCACACGTAAAAGGTCATCGAGGTGTCAAATCTAAGTCGCATGGAAGGCCTACTGTATTTACACCAGAGTTTGAAAAAAATATTGCGTCAATGCTTCACATCATGGAAAGACATAGCTTTGGTTTGACTCAACGCGAAGTAAGAGCATTAGTTGGCCAATACGTTCGTCGTAACGAAATCGATACTCCGTTACGACGAACGTATTGGATACGTGAAGATTAGATAAGAGGGTTCAAAAACAGAAACAAACTTTCAATTAAAAAACCTCAAGGGGTGGAAATAGCAATACAAAAAGCAGCAGACCTATTTCTGACTAACAAATTTTACGACCTACTTGAAACAGTTGTGAAGGAGCAAAGATTAGAAGGCGATCAAATTTGGAATCTCGATGAGACAAGCTTCTGTCAGGATCCTGGAACATCAAAAATAATTGGGCTCAAAGGTTTTCAGGGCACTAGAACCATTAGTTCACCAGGCCACGACAACACAACTGCAATTCGCATGCAATTCTTTGGGTCAAAAAGTAAAACCGCTTATAATTTTTAAGGGAACGTATCTTTGGAATACATGGCTACTTGACGATGATACGGTTGATTCGGCATTTGCTGCAACATCCGATAAACCAATAAAAAAAATAACAAAGGAAATCCAAAAAAAATGCCATCTAAAAAAAGGAAAAGGAAAGTTTCAATAAAAATAATATAATACAAACATGACAATATCTACGGTTTGTGTCGTATCCTAATTTATACACTTATCCTTCTTAAACTATCGATATTCTGTTTTCTTAAATTGTCGATAAAATAATTACCTAATGACATCACTATTTTGTAAGACTCCTGTTACACTATCGTCATTTGGATAAAAAATCCGTTATTTCGTAAAAATAGAAATTAATATCACTGCAGCAGATCATAAAATATGTTGACATGAGTAAATTTTACAGAAATTTTGACAGATAACACAAATACTGGAGTAAACTGCGAAGAAAATAGTAAGTGTTACACTTACCTCAGGTTCGGGGCAAGTGTGACAGTCCTCGACTCTCATAGGTTTTGTAATATTTTCTCACTTAATAGAAAGATATATGTGTTAATTTGCTTGATTAAACAAATTATCATAAAATAATAAACGTTTCAAAACAAAAGTCTTTGTATTTTATCAATACAGAGTAGAATTATTTGAAGGAAAACTATTGTACCAATAAATTTGCGTCACACTTGCCTCGGTTGACCTTAATTAAAACAGTCTTTTTTTTCTTTGCGGAGCAAAAAGTTGCTAGTTGCAATACAAAATTTACTTATAGAGACTGTTTCGAATTCCAAATATTTTCAATCTAGTGTTTTTACACAACGTCGTCGTTCATCGGTATGTTTTGTTACTATACAGAAGTTGCCTTTTTTTTTGCAGAGCAAAATGTACTCGTGTTATATGTATATTTATAAACATAAAGAGTAAGAGTAATAAATGAATTTATTATATTTTGGTTTCAGAATAAAACAATAATAGTTTATTATGGAATGATTAATTTGAATAGCGGTACAGTCTCGAATCACAGGATAAATAAAGCTGCTCGAATGTAGGTCATGTTACATTCCCGTGGTTATCATTCGGACCAATGGAGAATGTAGGTCAATCAAAAATGTGATTGTTCAATTCATTGTTAAACGAAGTGTATTCTATTTATCCCGGATTTCGAGATTTATCTTTTTTTTTTTTTGTTACCTTGATCACCTGTTGTTTGTTCCTGTATTCCTGGATTTCGAGTTTTCCATTTTTTGCACTGGTAAAATATTGTTTCGTTTCTATATTTACTATCCTGACATCTTGAATATAGTTAGAAATAAGTTATACGGTACACGTACGCTAAAGGAACTACAGTTTTCATCACGCTCTGAGAAATTATAGTCGCGAGAATATTTTTTTTCTAAATCTGTGGATAGATGTAAATAATGTTTACATTTGTTTTCAACTAACTTCGAAAAAATAGGAGGTTTTTAATTCGGTTATATTTATTTATGTTTATCTTATAATTCCATGATTTAGAAACCAGTGGTATAGTTTTAAATCACAATAAGCGATATTGTTACGAAATAAATAGTTTTTTTTTTTGTGGAACATAATCTCAACTTATTCTCTTCAATGAGCCTGGCATAACATTTTGTAAAACATATCTAACAACACATTTCTGTTATCATATGACTAACGCATTACTTAAATATGGTCTAAACAATTATTATGTAGATTGTATGTAAATTGATGATTAAATATTATTTGACGAGAAAATTGGAATATGTACCGGATAGTGACGCACAATGCCGTCGACCTCTTCACCGGCCCATGTGTTCCTTTGTGCCGTTTCATATGCCGATTTGTGGGGCGGCAATATACACTGAGTCACGCTATATCGAGTTCCGAGTATTTTTCATTGTGATTATTATAATTTAAATAAAGAACAGAAGTCAGTGACTGGTATTTTTCACAATAAAATTGTAAATTAAAATAAAAGTCCAATATTGATTTGCCTAGAATACCAATTATGTTAAAATCCCTTATTCGTAGATTACAAAAGAAAATGTATCCTAACCAGACTTGTAGCGCAAGATTACAGATCCTATTAAAAGATTATTCGTAGTTTTGCTTTTTATAAAATTTAAAGCTTTTGTTGAAAAATGTTAGCATTTTATTTTCTTGTGTATAAGTAACATCAAAATACCTAACCTATTACACTTAGTTCAATGTAGTCGGACAGAGTTTATTTAGCTATGTTATATATTTATAATCTTGTTTTAATTAATTGGCTAGATTAAGCAATGCAGAGATAACTGCTGGCGACAGTCTGAAAATTTGTGCACGGTGTTACCAGATGCGTTTTTTATTTTTAACCAAATATCTAATTTTTTTCTAAATCGATACGATTTCGTTTACTTTTATCCAATCACAAGCTTGTGTCGTTCTTCACTTGATACGTTTTAAATTGTTACCACTATGCATACAAAAAAAAAAAGAGAAACGCCTTCCGTTCACCTTACTTTTTCAACTTAATTGATATTATTTAGTATACTCATTTTCGTCGCCCATTTCATTAGCCCAAAATTGTGAAAAAATCTGGCAGACGTTGCTCGGTTTTTTGTTTGCCCGGTTTGCACGATTATTCATTATGTGACTTATTAACACATCCACTTAGCAAGAATGTTTGTAATCTCCCTCAGGATCATGTCTTCTAAATTCGAGCAATATCGGGGAAATCAGTAATAACTACTATCATGTATTAAATTAATTGTATCTACTGTATTGGTCAGGTTGCTGTCTGTTATTTTTAAGAAATTTTTATCACGATAAAAAATCTTATTTCATGTCAAGGTCAACACAGAGATTTCTTTTTTAAATTGTGTATGAAATTTATATGATACTATATGAATTTTACTATCTGTGATGTATTATGAAGAACTATAATTTGCATTCCTAGTAATTTTCCTAACAAATATGTAGCTGATTTTATCTTATCTATCTACATTAAAATCAAGCCATTTCAATGTATCTATTTTATTTGTGCTTTTTATTGCGCTTTTGTCAAAATAACTATTAATATAAAAATATTATATGCAACCGTAATTAGAATAATGTTTGAAAATAGAATAATATGGCTTTTGGTCAACGACAACACTCTTTACTTTTATTTTTAAATAAGAGCATTGAACGGGGTGTTTGACCTTCTAAATTCATTCATTGTCGATAAGGGCCAACCAACCCGAGTTTACTCAATTAAGTCGAATATTTCAGGTATAGGGTTCGGTATGATCTACCTGCCTTCGGTGGTGGCTGTGGGGTACTACTTCGAAACGCGGCGGTCCCTGGCTACTGGTATCGCTGTATGCGGATCCGGAGTGGGCACCTTCAGCTTCGCACCACTTGCTTCACTATTGCTCAACGAGTTCGGGTCATGGCAGAATGCGAATTTGCTTTTGGCTGGCCTGATATTGAACTGCGCCGTATTCGGCGCGCTGATGAGGCCTTTGGTTTATCCAAAGGTAAGATTGGATTTTATTTCGAACAAAAATAATTTGAAATTTGATATAGGTACCTATTACTGAAGCTTACCGAAATGAGATAACATCGGAATTCAATCTCTCAATTTTCAAAAACAATTTATAATATTATTTAAGATTTCTGTTTGATTTCACTGGATTACTTTTATGAATTCGAGTTCTTTTTCCTTATATTGATTATCCCGTTTCGTTATACCGTCTCTTTCTGTTGAGTTTTCAATAATAGCAAATTTTAGAATTATTTGTATTTTTTTCTTTTCAGTCCTCTGGTGAAAAACCTTTACTGCAGCGTATGGCTGAAGAGAAAAGACTGCAAATGGAACGGGGTTCAATCGGCGGTTCCTACTTTGTGGTACAACTACCCGACGGTAGCATGGAGAAAAGACTGAAGGTAATTGTCGTCATTGCGGCATTATTAATTTTTTTTAACACAAAAGCGATACCCAAACATACTACTCTACTGATTGTAAGCTATTCATCATCATAACCTATTTTAATGGATAAAAGAAATGGTAATTCCATCTGCACTATTATTGGCTTATGCTGGCTGGACACCCAATGAGGCAGGTTAGGTTAAAATTAATTTGATACATTTTACAGAAAATTAACACGATGATTTCCAAGCTTTTATGGAGGCTTATGGTTATCGGATTTTCTTTCTCTAGCCAACACAAACCAGATATACCAATGTGTATCTTATATTATTGTATAATTCCAGTATTCTTACGATATCGTAAGAATACCGGACGTATATAATCTTTAATATTAATGTGGTATACCACATAGACTTGTCGCCACTGCCAGAGATATTTCTCGCGCATTGGCCACTTCAATCAGTTTTTTTTTTTATTTTTTTATTTAAGAGTTTCACTATTATAACATACTTTTCAATTAAAATACTGCAATGTAAAGATGGCTATTGTTATTTATTGTTAGCATTAATAATTAAATATCGTAGCCGGGTTAGTAGCCCATGGAGACGACTTTGTCCATAATAAATAATATGACGAGTCATCATAATATCCGAGTGACCGCATCATATAGTTCAAGTAAAACATTTATTACAATTATTTTTTGAATGACGTAATCGTAACGGTCATAGGAACATGTAATGTAACAAACAGTCTTCTAGTTATAAGCTTAAAAAATAATAACATTTGAATATTGGAGCGTTAAAATTAATGGAACAGATATTATTACTGCACTGTTATTCTCTACGTATTTATAATTTGGTGAGATATCCTAGCAAGGTCAATATCCAGATAACTATTAGCTAACCAAGAATGCGGAAAATCAATTTGTTTTGCCAATTTGAAGTAGCGGGAAGTGTATGAAAACAACATATATGTATATTTACAACAAAATTTTATCCAACAATGAACAGGTAATCCGAACAGTTTTGCTAAACAATATAATAGTTTTTTTCAATATTCGAAGCTTCACTTTCAAAAAAATCAGTTTATGGCAATCGAACCTCATAATTGAACGAAGAATGTTGGCACGGTTTATAGTAAGCGTCGCCAGTACAGTCATTCCGCATAACAATGAACGTGATAATCATTTATGTGTATAGTAATAATGTTTGGGTCAGCACTGAGCTTTGTGGCGGAATACCAGTGCTAATTTTCCACCACTCATGGACTTGGATCTTGGACTGCAAATTTTTATGTATGCAAATACTGGTTACTAGGGGGAAAGGGATTGTTAGTAATGGAGACTGAGAATCCCATTGCTAGCAATATATCCAACCAGGTCGACCTCCTCGCGGTTCTACCTGGAAACTATCATGGTTAATTCCTGATGAATTCATCATTCTTCACTGGTGCTCCGCCAGCGTATTCCGTTAGCGCAGGCGGTGTTACCATTCCATTTTCACCTATCAAAAAAAAAATACTGGTTACTGTGTGTATAAAATCCTCTTAGAATCTTATTACCTCCCTATTATTTCCTTTCTCTTTCTATATTTAAAAAGAAGTTCTTAGTGACTGTGTAGAAGTCGTCTACATGTATCATCATCATCATCATCATATTATTTTCCTTTAACTGTCCATTGCTGAACATAAACTTGGGGGGATTTTGCCAGTAGTCGCCACGCTTGACAGACGAATTGGCAACCGCAGTTAGATTTTATAGATGTTTTAAGGGGTGAGCTGCTGCCCTCCCGTAATCACCTCTTGCAACTTAGAGGAAGGGATGACCTATTCTATGGCGGGACCACACGGCCACATGTATACTTCAAATTCAAATTCAAATTCAAAAATCATTTATTCATGTAGGACATTTTAGCCGCTTATGAACGTCAAATTTTTACATTATAATTTTATATTTACCCTACCGTCCAGTTCGGTATATAGATCCAATTGAGAAGAACTGGCAAGAAACTCAATTGAATTACTTTTTTTTTTAAAGCCAGTTTATTTACAATGTATATTTATATAGGTGTCTATGTCTAACATTACTTTTACTTTTGATACCATAGGTATCCCAGAACATTTATGAAGCTAATTGAGCTTTTCTTGTCTATAGGCAACATTGTTTTTCACAGTATCAATCCACTTGGTTATTGTTTCAAGTTGTATACAATTTTTAAAATATTCGTGTTATGATCGCAGGCGCCGCTAAATGTGGATCCTGGTGTTCACTCTTCACTGAACCTGGAGGCGCTGGCGCGTGTCCCAACACTGCCCAACATGACCGGTGTGCCCACTGTCCCTACACTGCCCACCATCACGGAGGTGCGAGTGGCTGACGACAACGGAAACAACAAGAAGAAGGTATCTATAGTGAATAAAAAGTAGCTCAGAATGGAGATGTAATCGAGTAATGTAGTTACTAAGCATGTCTGTACAACAAAGATATAGACAGTAATATGACAATAAAAAGCTATTCGTTGGTATTTATGAATAACTTGATACACAAACATGCGACAGTATCAAGCCGGATGCACAGTAAAAAATTGCATTTTGCTCCATACCTACTTGATGTAATGTTATCACAGCAATATGGTTCTCGTTATCACCCCATTTAATTTTAATATCACAACACAATATTTAATGTGTTTGTGTGAATTACGTATATAGGTTACAAAATAGATATAGTTAAAGTTAAATAAATTACTCTATTTAAACCCAACTAAAAAGTAATGGACGATGAGTTTTAAAAATAAAAACAAAGTGTATATAAAAAAGTTTCATCTATTCGTTTTACACTATTAAGTACAGATTAAAAAAAAACAAAACTTTATTTTTTACTTCCTTGTTAATAATGTAGTGATTTCTAAATGTAGGGTTACAGTTTTCTTTCATCTATTTTAGATTCCTCAGGGAACATATTTTGTATCCGCATTAGTGAATGGGGCTTAATTTACAATCAAATTCATCACGTAAAATCTACTCTACCAAATTTAATGCAATTTTTATTGTTTTCGTAAATATTGTACTTAAAATCTGGTATGTTTTATTCTGATACGCCATCAGAATTCATCTATTTATTTAATTGGTTTTCCTGCTTTTAAAATCCATGTGTACAAAGTCACGTGCAAAGCTAGTATAACATAATCATGATGTAATTTGTAGAACGAGAACGGCACAGCCCCTGCAGGTCCCGGCGTTGGTGTTGGTGGAACGCAGATGTCTCGCAACGTGTCCTCGCCAGCGTTCAGCTCTCAGGCGCCTGGTCTACCCAAGAATGGATCCGTGCCATTCTTCGACCGTCAGCGCAAGCAGAGCACAGGAGATAGGTCAGCCAATGATAGGTAGATAAGTCACCCTTAGTTAAGATTGACGGTGGAGGTAGCGGGACCAAGGGTATGGTGGTGGGTACTGGAGGTGGTATGTAACAGGCAAAATAAGGAAGCTGTTCCAGTAAGAGAACAGTTCCATTGGCTTGTGCCAAAATAACATAATGTTATATCAAAACAGCGTTTCTACATAGAATACTGTTCTACAATAGAAACCACGTGCTATCTCTATAACTCCATATGCTAGATACAAGAAGAGCAAGTTCTATCTAACAGGTATAGAACAGGTAGAAAATAGTTGCTATCTCTTTTAACACAGGTTAACTTCATATGCTAGATAAGAGAAGAACCTGTTCCATTGTTAAACTGGAGTTTTAAGGTAATAGAAACAGGTATTACGGTTTCAAAGGAACAATTCCGAGTTGTTAATTTTTGTAACCTATTGTGTTTGTCTGTTCTGATATTTATGCCTTACCTCTAGTGGGCACTCGTTTTATTGTGGTGTTTTTTTTAATACGATAGCTGTACAACCATGTTAATGTCTGTCCACCACTATTTTGTATAGTCCTTTAATATTAACGAGTCGTGCCCTCGTGTCTGTTTTATACGCTCAACCCGGTCAAATAGTTATTTTGAATGGGTGATTTAATGATAGATTATAATCCTTATTACTTTAGTTGTGTTTTTGTCAAAACACTTATTTATCATGTTTCGGTCCTTCTATTGTGATTACATACTACACATATTATTGTAATCAATATATGTGTACATTTACTTAATGTCGAAAATACTTAGATTATATAGATAGAGTGTCCCCATAGAAATGTTTTAAGAAAAACTGGTCAACTTTTTCATACAATTTTGCGTGCTAAATAGATACTAGCGATTCCTTTATAACTTCTATATTTATTTTGTCTTGTAATATCTGCATATTTTTTGTAATGCGTAAATATATAGAACACTGATAAAAAAAAATTAGTCGGCTAATTTGACAATTAGCTGGCAAAAAGTTCACCCGTTATTAAGGCTCATTTAATCTAAGAGAAAATATTTATAATCTGTTTTATTTTTCGGTTATTGAATAACCGATCTTAAAAGTATTAATTTTATGAAATGAAAAAAAAAAGAAGAAATATGATCGGTGTACCAGCTAAGAATGATAGTTGAGAATGAAGAAATAACTGTTGACTCATCATAACGGAATTCGTCATGAATTAACCATCATGGTTTCTAAGGGGACCATGTGAAGGTCAACTTGATAGGGTGCATGGAAACTAAGGGCCTGTTAATCTCCATTAATAACAGTCTCATTTCCGTGATAGTAGTCATGTATATAAATGTTGCCATATTTCAAAGATTATTTGTCAAGATTCTAAGTTGCCATGATAAAATGAATAAACAAACACACTTTAATATTTATAATATTAGTAAGGATTCTATTAAAGTTTTTAATATGCAATAAAATGTATTACAGATTCAAACCGTCCCTGGCTGCAATTAGAGCCACGTCCAAAACTTCCATGAGTAGTTATCGTGCCCCTGATGTGAGTATACATTTTATTAACTATCTATATTTATTTAATAAGAATAATTTCATAAGGTTTCTTAAGGCAGAGTTGGATTACCAATCTATAAAACTAAGCAGAAAACTATTTTTGCGTTAAACATCCACTTGAGGTTATATGTAATAAAGATATATATAAATCCACCTAGCAAATTTATAAAATACGGTAATAATAGTCAAATATTAAGTTTTGTTTTGGTGGATCTTTTAAATCCTATTTTTATCAACTGCGATATATTCTATAAATATAATTAAATGAGTACGAGGTCTAACCGTTTGATGAAAAAAGATACTTTTAGATATCGCGGAACGGAAATCGATTAATAACAAAAATCCTAACATCGCGTTTTCACCAAATATTAATTTGCATTATTGATGCACAGTACGTTTAGAGTTTATACCAAGTTTTATTATTATATTAACCATTAACTGTCCACTGTTGGACATAGGCTTCCACCATAAGGGGAGTTTTGCCAATAGTTGCCACGCTTGCTAGTTGGGTTGGCAACCGCAGTCAGAGAAGATGTTTTAAGAGGGACGCTGCTGCCTATCTCTCGACCAATATGTTTCCTTAGTCGCCTCTTACGACACCCACGGGACAGGAAGGGATGGCCCATTCTATGCAGAGACCACAAGGCAGTTTTATTTTTTAGAAGTTTTAATATTATGTTGTTACACATGTTAACAATTTGATTATCGCGTATGTATATGTTATATTTCGAACATGTGATTGAAAAATTATCATAATATTTAGGTCTGGTTATTCAGCTTTATTGTTTTAGATAAAATATTTGTTCTGTCAAATGTTACCATAACGCCCGAGCGTTTATTCATGAAGTTCAATCATAAAGGCATGAACTTTATGATTAAAAACTCATGCTGTCTAAATATTTGATTACAAGAACCATTAAAGGATGGCACAATAAGACCTACTTTGCAACACATTAACCTCGATATATTAAGGTCAACAACATCAGACAAATGGTTGCCAGATATGTTAATATGGGCGAATTAGGAATGCCCATACAAAAGGAGGTGAACCTTGAACTTTTGTCGCGGCTTCCCGCCAACTCGTACAATGAATTATTTGGCGATATTCCAGACTATTTGATCCTGATCGCATGCAATAAGGAGTTTGTGAAAGTGTTTATTAAAAAGATTGCCTAAGTCTCGGATTCGATTCACAGTGCGAACAATTTAATAATGAAACTTTTCTAAATTGTATCTGCTTTGAATGTTCTGGGTGATGCCTTCATCAGTTGTCTGATTGCTCGAACAGCATAGCTTCAATTGAGGATCAAGTAAATTTTGTGATTATATGGACTTGTTATCATTATTTTGTCATCACTTTGATGACGTAGGTGAAATTATACATATAATTTTTTTTACCTATTGGTATTATTAGTAAGGAATGTACTCAAAATTCTAATCTGAGAAGCATTATCGACTTGTTTGTAAGTCTAATAATATAATAACGACTCGAAATTAAACATTGAAATGAATTTTTTAGGAGACGTCTTGAATCGAATTCACGTCCTAAATCTTGACTTTCGGGGTAATGAACCAGTACGCCACTTCGCTTTCCCTCAATAAATTAATTATACGCTAAAAGTGTGTTAAACAAAGGAGTTTGCTTTTAAATACATACATATATTCATTGGGCTAACTACATTCGGTCATTGATCCTATTTTACTTACATTTTTCTTTGTAAACGAAGTTTACTTGCATATTGCAATGCAAAGCGATTCTTATTTTGAAATTTTAAAATAAAAAACAATACTTGGTTTTGACCGTTCGATCAATGCCCAGAAAATAAATACAAAATAAATGTATGTAGATACTTACGACAAATGTCGAAATAACTTAATAAATATTTATAAATATAAATTCCTTATAGTATTTACCTACTAAGAGCTAATAATATGGTGTCACTAGAGTAGAACGCATTTTCTTTGAATTAAAAAAAAAAACTATTTCTTAAAAATTTAAAGAATTTTGAATATCGGTAAAAATAAGTAAAATCTTACTAGTTTCTTATGTTTGTAAATGGGTAGTAGCTTCGTATATACATAACGAGTACTTCTGTTATGTAATTAATGTATGTATGAGATATATGTATTTAATTAAATGCTTACTAATGGACATCCAATGCACAACCTAAATCGAAGTACGAGTATGTAGTGTACAATGATCGAAGGATATTATAAATTAATATATGGAAACGAGAGGTGAATGGAGAATGAGTTCGCTTCACCTACATAGTTACGTATAAAGAAAAGGAACTTACGTTTCTACTTTCAAGCAACTTTGCTTGGCTGTTTTAGTTTGAAAAGCGAGATATGTCAACTAAACTAAATGATATAGTGTCTTATGCCTCCATACTCGTAAGTAAAGTTGTATAAAAGTATATTTATTGTGCAGGGTGACACGGAAAGTATGATGACCTCAAAGTTGTCAGTCGCTGGTGGTCGGGAAGGCCCGCGCATGGTGCGACCCATGTCGCGAAAGGATATCTTCTATTCCGGCTCCGTGCTCAATCTGCCTCAGTACCAGAGTCAGAAGTCGCTGCAGGGTTACAGGAATTCAGTGCTCAGCCTCCCTCAGAGTAGGCAGACGGGTGACTTGGAGAGGCAAGAACGTGAGTTTCACATAATAATTTTTTTATGCTACTTAGAATGGCAAGCCATGACCCACCTGATGGAAAGTGGTAATCATCACCTATAAACATGAGCAGTACCATGGACATAAAGTGTACTGTTTTACCCATAATACCCCCCATGCGTTGCCATTCCTGATTTATATATCCTTTCAGGTAAAAAACTCCAAATCGATTTATAAATGACTAAGTTATGAGGTAACAAACAAAAAAATACAATCGAGAATGTCCTCCTTTTTTAAAGTCGATTGAAAAATTCGTTTACAATTTCGGCGCCTTCTATGTGATAATAAAAATATGATAATAATAGTATTGTTGAATATATTTTATATTATAAATGAATAAATGACGTCAGCAATGATTCTGGAATAAGTAAAGATTGTATCCCATTCAATTTTGACAAAACTAATTGCTTTGTTCTAAAAACTAAACTATTGAATCGATTCTGATAATATTTCTACGAGATCAATCTGAAAATGTATACTTTCAGATAAAAAATGCTCTTAATCGGTTTATAAATGACAGAGTTATGAGGTGCCGAATAAACATAAAAAAATACGGTCGAATTGAGAACTTCCTTTTTTGAAGTCGATTGAAAATAAGTGTGAAGAAATGTCGCGTTAATGTAGATATATGTGTATATTATGTGAGTACGTATTAAATGATATCAACTCTTGCAGAATACGACCTATGCCCGTGTTTGGCGCTGCCCACGTCGTTCAAGTCTGCGCTGAGCTCGATGCTGGACGTGAGCCTGCTTCGTGACCCCGCCTTCATGCTCATCGGCGTGTCCAACGTGTTCGGCATGGCTGGCCTTTATGTGCCCTTCGTGTACATCGTCGACGCTGCCATGCTTAATGTAAGTCTAGACAGTCGTATTTATTTATTAGTTGTCCTCGCAATTTCGTTCGTGTATCGTATAATTTTGTCTATACTTTTTTACGCCATCTAGTGTCAAGTAGAGTCAATTATTTACTTGTCAACGACAAAAAAGAATTTGAAAATATACTCAGAACTAGAATCCTAGATAGACTTGTAAATCTTACTTGTATATGATCTATTATTACAGTACTCATCTATTATTAATATGACGTTGTTTTGTACATGTAAAAACCACATACTAAGACAATTTTTCTTATTGGATTAAAAACTCTCCAATTTCTCAAGTTAGAGCAAACAATAAACATTTACAAAATTCTATTAAAATCGCTTGAGCAATTTTGAAAATTAACGTTAACGAGTAACAATATGAATAACATGAATATATCAATATAAAAGCATAATATATATTGTAACATTTTTTTTATCTATAATAACTCTGTTGTGTATATTCCAGGGTGTGGATCCGTCGCAGGCGTCGTTCCTGCTGTCCATCATCGGAATAACGAACACCATCGGGCGTATCGCGTGCGGCTGGGTCGCTGATTTCCCCTGGATGGACTCACTTTTGCTCAACAATTTGTGCCTCGTCGTTGCCACGGTTAGTATTAAAAAAAAAAATTACCTCATTAGTTTTAATCCATTTTTTAGATAATTAAATAATTTTATAGTCTGTGACTGCTAGGCATTTGTTATTTTATAAAAGCTGATTCTCAGCACATGCTTCCAACATGAATGATAGACTACTATGAACTTTGACAAATAACTACATAATAAAATTATTTTATCGGTCCAAATAACTATATCCATCGCCCCTATTCGGATATTGCCTCGCGCTCGCATTTACGCTATGCTATATGTTTGTTTGGCCAGAAGTTAGAACTATTGATACCCTCTGGGTATTGAGAAAACATCTAAACCCAAGTAACATGTATGAAATTCAGCTTTTATACTATAACATAAGTACAGTTACAATTTATTAAAGCTTGAAGGTGTCTATAAAAGGAAACTTTATCATCATCATCATCATCTCAGCTATTATCTGTCCACTGCTGGACATAGGCCTCCACCATAGTTGGTGGGTTTTACCAGTACTTGACACACTTGGCAGGTGGGTTGGCAACCGCAATTAGTCGTTTGGTGATGTTTTAAAGAGGAACACTGCTGCCCATTCCTCGACCATAAGTTCGTTTGGTTGTCTCTTACGACACGTGCGGGAAAGAAAGTGGTGGCCCATTCTATGCCGGGACCTATCCGGCGATAAAGGGAACCTACTGGCTATAAATCTAAAAGAAATGTATTGTAATAAAGATACTATTTTAATTTCAGATATCAGTCGCTGCGACACCGTTCTGTTCGTCGTACGCCTGTTACGTAGCTGTGGCTATTGCCTTTGGTCTGGCGATTTGTGAGTATCATTATTGCTACTACTACTCATGTGAGGGTAGCGGCCTCTAATATCAGAGTTTTTGGACTGATACCAGATATTTAATTTTTACTATGATTAGTACTTCTTTAAGTATATATACTAAACTAATTTTATAAAAAACAAAAAAAGAAAGTGTCTCTTTTCATACTAAAATGATTACACATTACAAGACTTTGAGCTTCTGATTATATTTTACGTTTTGTACATTTGTATTTATGACTGTTTATTTATATTGGTATAAGTGTTTTCTATGTACAATTTGTATGAATTTACAAAAAAAAAATTAGGTGCTGATTAGAAATATTTTGTTTAATTCCATTATCATTAGTATATGTGTGAGTATCAATTGATCAATCAATCGTATGTTAGCAGTCGCACACATAATTGACAACATTTAAGGATTGATTATTATTATTAGTAGAGGCCTAGAGGTTCTACGACCTTCCCTATTATTTATTATAGATTTTTCATGTATCGAATAAACATTTTTTTGAATAAAGATATTTTTGTTCTGTTCCAGCCGGTTACATCTCCCTAACTTCGATCATTCTCGTAGACCTGCTAGGTCTGGACAAGTTGACGAATGCGTTCGGTCTGCTGATTTTGTTCCGTGGTGCGGCCGCCATCATCGGCTCACCGCTAGCTGGTGCCGTCTACGACGCGACCAAAAACTATGACGCCTCCTTTTACATGGCAGCTGCTTTCTTTTTAGCGGCTAGCCTTACTTCCTTCGCGTCACCCTTGTTCCGCAGGTATGTATTCTCTCTCTCTCTCTCTCTCTCTCTCTCTCTCTCTCTCTCTCTCTCTCTCTCTCTCTCTCTCTCTCTCTCTCTCTCTCTCTCTCTCTCTCTCTCTCTCTCTCTCTCTCTCTCTCTAACTCTATTACTGCGTATGTGTGTATTTATCTGTGTGTGTGTTTTCGTTGTTCGTAGACACCATCGTGGCTAATTATTAATGAATTCGTCACGATGAGCTATCAGATCTAAGTCCTTCACCAGTTATATCTCAAAGGTACCAGACCTTATCAGCGTATATCGATAGCGCAGGCGCCATTATCATTGTATTTACTACTCTCAAAAAAATATAAAATAGTATATAAATAATTGGAACTTATTCACTACAGAGGTTATATTAAAAGTTACATTACGAATTCACAGAAAACAAGAGGAGATCCAACAGCCATTAGATGTACTGACGCCCATCGACGAGGACCTCGAAGAAGGCGAGGAGGAGGATCCGGACGACACTCCGATCACCATGGGCGCCCACCTGGCCTCGCGGCCACCAGCCATTACTCGCACCGCGGCTTCCCCGTCCGACCCGCCGAGTCCGACCAGCCCCGCTAGTTCCACCAACCCCAACCACAATAGTCCACCCGAACTGTCGCAGCGGGAGAGCGTGCTGTAAAGAGTAAACGAACCACGTTAGAAGTTACACACCTAGTCAAATGGTTCAAAAGTTTTTTTTTTTTAATTTCTTTTATCTTTATTGAAAGCCTAATGTAATTTTTATAATCCATACATACTATATGTAATCAGAATGAAAAAATCCACGGTTATTAAATAACTGAAACGGATATAGTTTTTCGAGTATTGTTCTGCTAGACAAATGGCAAACGAGTTTAATAAAAGATACCTTTCTTTATCATATGCATAAGATAGAAAGAGACAGAAATGAATGAATAAATGAAAGTAAATTTATTTCTCTCACAAAAATAACATAATAAAACTTCCAGCAACATAGGTTACAATTTAAAACAATCTTTGTGAGACACTGGTGTTGGTACTAGGATAACTTGTCTCCCAACTCAAGGACATTTATTTTATTTTATTTGTTAAAGTAAGAGTATACAAATATATATATGAATTAGTAAAATCTATATGCTACGTGAATGTACTAGTATGAGTGAGAGGGTAAATGAAAAGTGAGGTTGAATGCGTGTGTGTGCGTGATGAATGACCAGTCTCTTTTTCTTTTTCATGAGCGCGAAATCGTATCTATCGATAAATTCGTGTGCCACTTGTATAAGGGGACTAGATTGATCTAAAAGGCAAGGAAGAAAACAGTCATGGTAATAATAATTTACAATGGGACTGGTAATCCGCATTACTAACTATATCTCTCCCCCCCCCCCCTGTTAGCAAATAGCTATGACACTATCAGATCAATTTCCACGTAGCTACACTTGAATACCACTATACTTACTTAGTCCATGGTGAATTCGTCACGATGAATCAACTAACCTGACTTGATCCTCACCTGTCATTCTTCATTAGTACTCTGCTAACATACACTTGTAGCGCAGACAGGGTTACTGTTCCATTAAAAAAATGTTATGACATAAGAATAGTCAAAAGTATTCCTTTATTGTACTTATATGTATAGATAATTAAAAAAATATATATTTGTTAGTCATTAAGCCTGGATGTATTGTTTATGTATTATTAATTTAGGGATTAAGATGTAGCTTGACGTGTCTGTATATATTTACAGACTTGATGTGAACTTCTAACGTGGTTAACCATTGTCTGTAGACAAGTGTCATAGTTTCAAAAACGTTATTCTTTTAGTGGATTAAAATGACCCTTATTTTTATATACGTAGAGAACAAGAATCGTTTACAAACCGCACGAGAGAACGAGACGACGAAACGTAGTAGCTCGTTCTCTCTGCAACTTTTGTATAAATGAAAACTATTTGGAACACTTGACCCTTGCCTAGGATCTTCGAATAGTAAATTTCGATTAAACCTTTAAATAGTTGTCAATAAATTAAACTAATTATACGATCTCATTAAAGGCATTATTCTAAAGGTTACTCGAAATATATTAGTTCCCATTTAGGTTCAATGAATAATAAGTGATATATTAAGTAAGAACAATGTACAGTAACTGGTATATAATAGATCCAATGAGAAACATTTAGGGATATGTTACACTATGAAATCTAAAAGATCATTCCTATATTAATCGTACCAAATTATAAAGCTATGAAAAAAAAAATTGATAATGTATTTAAAATTTATTTTAATATCATGTAATAACAAAATAATTGTTTTATTAACATTATTGTACAAATATTTGCTAAATGGTATTAAGAACACATCGATATTTTAACAGTTATACTCGTAATTTTAAACCATACTGCCATTTAACATTATTAAATATATAAATATTTAATTATTCATTTGGTTCCCTTTCTACTCCATTTTGTTTAAATAAACTATAATTTAGGAATGACTTTCGTTTTTAATCTATAATTTGTATGTATTAATTTATGACTATAAGACAAATTATAATCCAAATATTTTGTGGTGTAATATTCCTCTAACCTTGACCAAGTTGAGCTCATGTTGTGGAGTTACCATAGTTTACGTGTATGGACCTGGAATTGACTGCAAGCAATAAGCGCATATTAAGGTCGCTACGCATTTTAAAAAATAATAATGAAATTATAACTAAGGTTCTTTATTCCAACGTGCCATATAGTTTGTCGTGGTGCTACGGTGAATATAATGTCAATGTAACGTCACTACAATTTTATTAATACTCAATGTAGAAAATGCACTAAACAAATAAATTATCCAATCACTGCTAGCAATAATGATAGTACTTATACGCTCTAAGTACTTAAAATCATACGAATTATTATGTCGGATGTTTTAATTCCATATTTGAAATTGCATATTGTAATTGCAGTTGTATATTTTTAGTAATTGACAATAAGTTGACACACAGACAAAAATATTATATTTTACTCAATTTTAATAATGACTCAGTAATTTCTCGTGATCAAAGTAAATGTATCTGTAAATATATGAAAAGAAAACTGAACACGTGTAAATAAACATTTAATTAGATAGGAATGTTTCCAGATTATTGACGCCATCTTATATAAGTATTACTGTCACTATTTTTCCCTTTCTAATCACTTTCTAGAAGTTACCGTATTTCCTTCATATGAGGCAAGATGGAATTCAGAAGCGAAGTATCTAAGTTATAAAAAATAACAATGAAAGTGTAATGTAGTGAAATATCTCAGGTGAACGTGTAATATTAAATATTATATTAATTCCTAATCGTGTAGAACTAAATAATAATTATAAACATACAATTATTGTATACGTTTATATAATGAAAAAAAAAATTAAAGGAGATATAGTTCTCCCGCATTTATAAGTTATATTGATAAATGCCATTTGCACAGAAAGAAATAGACTAGTTTCAACTTGAATCGATTTTAAAATCCAATTGAATATAGACCTTGCTGCATTAAATATAAGATTTAAATTGAATATAATATTGCTATCTCACGAAAATTATCCGGGTGACAACTGAATCTACAATTGGCGGATGCGTGATGGCTCGTATGACATTAGCCAATTATGATTGGTTTTTGCGCCAAAAGGATTTCTATATTGTAACTTATAAACATTGTAGAACTGTATTTCTATAAAAAAAATGTGTTCGATTTATATATATGTATTGTCTATTATAAAATGTTACTAATCTATATACATTTTTCATAAGTGACTGTCAGAATAATTTAAGATATAAAAAGGGATAAAAATGGAACGATGGATGATACAATGAACTCGTTTTGATGGTAATACTGCTTGTATTTATATATTTCTTATGGTGGATCCGCATCTATGCACGCGTATGTATATATCGCATATTGAACGGTTATGGACGCGTCATTTAACGCTCTTGGTAATCATTTGCGGATGTACCCACAATTACGTTTTAAACACGTAAACCACAAACTTCGTGCGCGGGCGCAGGTGTAGATCGCCTTTAGGTAGTGAATATAGAATGTTTGCCTTTTTAATCTTCCTAGATAACAATTTTTGAGCTTGGCTTTTACTGGTAGTGAACTTGTGAGAAACCCTGTATGTACTGATTATACAAGTCATTGCAGTTTGCATTAATTTTAAGCGATAAATATTGTTTTATTAGAGATTTTTGTCTCGATGCGCGTAAAATAAATTTTATATGTGAAAATGCGAACGACAATGACGCCAACCGACACGTCTGTCTTTATATTTTGTGCCATCGCCTATAAAGAAGTTAAATCTGTAAATATGCGGCTCTAATTAATAAGTAAATAACAGATATAAGTAAATGCAACGCAGTCAATTTTCTGTGCATCATTCTATACCAAAAACATGATGTTTCTTTATAACGTCGTGAAAACATAAGCTATGTACTTGCCAGTTTATTAATGTATATACCAATATAAGAGTATAGGTACATAATATATTTTTAAAATAGATATTTTTTTGTCTATAAAATGCATAATTTAGATTTAAGCATTATTAAGATATGTATAGAAATGTGAAATGAAAACATTAGCTCTAGAACGGTATTATGTGATAAAATCGTTGAAACATTTAATTTTTAACATTTGTATTTTATTATTGTATTAATTAACAATATGCCTATAATTAAATTTTAGATTACGTTCTTAAGATTTCATGTAAAGTGGTATATACAAATAAATATTATAATAATGTACTAAAGGATATTCAGAAAGTTATGAATGGATGTTACTGTTGTTATAGCTTTATGTGAAAACCAAACGTGTTATTGTTTGTAAGAATTATTAAAAAGAAAATTAAGATATAATGATAATTGATTATATACAATTTAATTGTGTATTACCGTTTACATGTAGTTATATTAAATATAAAATAACGAGTCAAACATTTCATTTATGAAATGTCTAATTCGGTTCTATTTGATCATTGTTACATTTTAATTTGAAATACATATGTATATATTGTTTCGACTGAACAATATTAAAGATTATACCTCTTATGTTTTGACATAATAAATCCAATATTTGTATAATTATGTGTACGTTTCTTATATATTTCATTCAGTATTGGCTCAAAGTATTGTTTACTTTTGTTGTTTATAATAACTGTTTGCACATTGTCGACTATTCTTAGCCGACTTCGAAAGTGGAGCAGGTTATTTAATGTTATTGAGCATGGGCTATGATTTAGTGATTTGACAGGTTTTATCAAAATCTATAATATTTATTTTGAAATTGATATTTTGGTAAAAATAAATGTACGAATTTCTAGCGGGCCTAAATCCTTCTTTAGTATGTCATTTTTTTTTTTCTTTGTAATGTTTTTAAATAAAAATTAAATCTTGGACGTTCCATGTAATCTTAAACTAAGCGGAATTTGAACAATAAGCACTGAACATATGATATACTATAGAAAACCTCTATTCCCACAAAATTTTTGTAAGATTTTCAGCCGAATTCATAAAAGTGGAGGTTCTCAATTTAATTCCGTCCGTTAATTTTAAACCGATTTGGAAATTATTTTTTTTTAACTCAATGGATATACTTACGTAGATTGGTTTAGGACCATGTTTGGATGTTTAGGACATTGTTTTTTTTTTTTTTCAAAAGAAGTAATTTAGTTTTTAAATCAAAATAATTTTATTTGTGGAACACAATCCTAAATAAATCCACACCTGTCATTCAATTGGCTGAACAAGTGTTTAATATAAACATACAAATTAAATCACTATTCTGCGGTATTCAAACCTGTAATCAGCGTTTGTTGAAGCGGTGTAGTTTTTTAACAAATTCTCATTAGGAATAAGAAATGGCCACAGTTGTACAGAAGAAATGTACCTAGTGATTAATCAGACTTGTGGCTTACTGTGCCAAGTAAATAAATTGTTATAGAAATAATAATGTAAGAAAATTATATTTTTGTGTAATTATAAAAAAAAGTTATTTTAATATTTTCTATAACAATTTTCTTCAAACTCTCAATTTACTTGGTTACAGATAGTGATTAGGAAGTGACGATGAAGCCTGTAAATCTACGTGTTAAAGTATGTAAGAACTCTGAAATTGTTTATTGTTTTTTGTAATGAATGGTCGACAATGTGAGAACAGTTCTTGAGCAATATATATTGTATGTTTGATTTAAGATTTCTACAATGAAGCCTGGCGCACAACGCTTGCGCCGTAGGCACAAGCAAGCTTATTGTTGAAAAGTCCACCGAAATTCACTTTTGTAAATAATCGATTCATTAAATGATGATGAATGACACAATGGTTTTTATTTATATATAAGAAAATAAAAGGGTTATTTATTTGGGAGTTTATCGTGCTTCGCCTAGCAGAACCAAATGGCTTAGAACACGGGGATAGTTTGAATTTTTCTCAAAAATCGTGACCATATGTTTTCTATGAATGATTTTTTTTTTTATACAACATAGAATGGCAAACAAGCTGACGGCCCACTGATGGAAAGTGGTAACCGTCGCCTATAGACATGAGCAGTACCATGGACATAACAGAATATACTATTTCGCCCATAATACAAATAAATAATTAAATAATAAAATCCCATAAATTTAAGTTGGTATTTTATATACCAACTATCGAATATCTGCCAAAGCCATGATGATCCAAACTTCATAGTAACCTGTCGTTTTCACCTAAATCTTTGTTCTCATCTTTGTTGGGAGTATACGCAGAGAAACATATAAAATAACGCAGATCTGACAGTCGTGGAGTCTCGATCTATAACATTTGCATCAATAGATACAGTCTTAGTATTAATATCAATCCATTTACTCTTGTCATGTTGAGTTATTGTCATTTATCCGTACAATAATTTTTAACCATCATGCTCATTAGTTTTAGGTCACCTTGCTATATTCTAATTTCTGCATCAATGACTATTTGCCGAAGCGTCATCTTTACCGTGAATCCTATTTAGTAGTGCTAGTTTTTGTATATTTTGCAGGTGATCTGGTTTCCAAAAAACTAGATAACCTTTCGTGACAATCTAGTGTCTTGGACTAAGACGTGTTTTTGTTACTGCGAATACTTGATGCATTTTTAACAAAATGTTATGTAATTGTATTAATGAATGAATAAAAACTCATTATTGTTCCCTTCAAAGAATGATACATATTATAATGATTATGTGCTGTAACAGTACTGTTCATGTCTATAGGCGACGGTTACCATTTTCCATCAGATGGGCCGTCAGCTTATATGGCATTCTAAGTTGCCTAAAAATTATCAATATGTACACAAATAAAATTAATACCTAATTACATAAAAGCAAGAAATCAAGAATAATAAAGAGTAATGTTTATAAGTAATAAGTACATAGTTACCGTCTGGTTCATTATTATATTATTATCCATCAAAAAAATTAACATTACTCCTCCCCTTACATGATGGATAAACTAAATTGAAGGGCAACTAATTTGAGATTCTTGTATTTATGTACTTACTCATTATTAATAGGTGTATAATATATATCAGATTTATCATAAAACCTTGGTACTATAAAGTGAAGCGGTATCAACATATTATGATCTTTTATAGGAAGGAACATAAATAACCTAGTACACGAGTACTCGTTTATAATCATATTTGATAGAATTGTGTCACATTATCACGTGTCATACGCAATAAATGTTATTGAAGCTATTTGTTTACAAATACGTGACTGACCCGTTCGACACGATGTCGTCCAAACAACCTAATATAGTGATCGAGTTGTAATATGGCACTATGATTATAAATACGTATCGATTTACATACTAAGAATAACTTGTATACTTAGAACTAGACAATCAACATAATTCCGATCACGCGGATGAAGTCACGGGTCAAAGCTATATATAATATACTATCATCATCATCATCACATGAGCCGTTGACTATCCATTATTGAATATAGGCCTCCGTCTTGGGGAAATTTTGCCAGCAGTTGCCATATTTGGCAGGCAGGTTACCAACCCAACCGCAGTTACGCTTTGGTGATGTTTTAAGAGGAATGCTGCTGCTCATCCGTCGATCATTAAATTCCCTTAGTGTAGCCCATTTTATGCCAGAACTATATGCAACATTCGATTTATCGAGATTGGAAATACCTATATCAAACAAAAAGAAAAACACTGTTGCATTTACAATATTAGCAAGGATATTGTTGAATGGAATAAGTTATACATTGTACTTACTTTATAATTAAATCACAATAGGGGCCAGTATATATTTATAGACACAACCTTGGTAAGTAGCAAGGCTGAGTAAAGTAAGTCTGGTAAGCGAGACACACAAATCTTAAGCACCTACTAGTATTAGTACTATAAACTATTACTAGATTTTTTTTAATGGGTGATAATGGTATGGTATACCCCGTCCACCGTCTGCGCTATCGGTATACAATGGCGGGGCACCAGTGATAGATGACTAATGAGGATGAAGCAGGTCAGTTAGCCCATCCTGACGAATTCAACTAGAATTAGGCACGATGGTTTCCAGGGGGAACCACGTGGAGGTCGACCTGACAGGGTATATTGCTAGTAATGGGGCTATTTGACCCCATTACTAACAGTCCCTTTTTTCTCTACTACTAGTATTAGGTTGTTTGTCTCACCTGGTATCTTACGAGTACTGATACTAAAAAACAAAATAAAAACTAGACGATATCTGTACACGGAGATATTTAAGAATAATTAATGAGAGGCCTTAATAAGAGCAATAGAAGCTAAAAAAATCTTTTTTATAAATTTTATTTGTTTGTGTGTCTGTATGTTGGTTACGGCATTACGCAAAAACTACTACACCAAATTGTATGCGCTTTTCATAGTTGTGTTCCTGAAGGGTTATCTTGAAAACCGGTTAAGAAAGGGGAAAAGGGATTGTTAATAATGGAAACTAAAGGATCCATTACTAGCAATATACCCAACCAGGTCAACCTCCACGTGGTCCTCCTGGAAACCATTGTGCTGAATTCCAGGTGAATCCATCACGATAAGCTAACTAACCTGTCTTTTTATCCTCACCTAGCATCACTCACTGGTGCCCCGCCAAAGCATACCGATAGCTCAGAGAGGGTTACCATTCCATCGTCATCCATAAAAAAAAATGCGTAGAGGGAGGTGTCTGTTCCTTTTTCTCCACAAAAATGGAAACAGGTATATGTCATATTACTTTTAGTAGGAACTATATTTATTGGTAGTGATTGATTATACTTCAGGCAAACTATTGCAAGGATTTTTCCTTTCTGAGTTAAAAGGAGATCACGTACTGTAATTGGACATATATAACAGTTTAATTATGGTAAGGAATGGAATTAAATGTTGTATACCGGGTGCATTATTTAGTTTTAAATACAGTATAGTTGTTATAATTAAAAGCGTAGTGAACATTATGTACTACGTCTATGACGATATCACTTTGAATGAAATAGGATTTCCTGTCGATAATTCAAACTTAAAAAGTGGAAGGATACATGCAATAGAAGAATGATATGTGCTCTATTGGTCTATCAAGTAAACAGTAATTTTAATTTGGGTTTTATAAAATTCCTTGTTTAAAAATATGGTATTTAAAAAGTGGATGCTACAAGAGATGTAAGGATAGATAGAGGTCTTGAGAGACATTGGGTAATCGCTGTGTACGCAGTAAGTTATTTTGCGTAAAAATATTTTTATTGTATACACTGGTATTTCAGTAGAAATATATGTCACGATTATTTACTAAACATAATATGACTAGTCCATCAATTGAAAATCGCTCAGCGAGCTGTGGAAAGAGCTATGTTTTAAATTTCTCTAAGGGATCGAATCCGCAATTGAATAATTCGCTAAAATCCCTTTTAGCGAATTATTCAATTATTCTTATTATTAGTCTCCCGACTTTGTACAAAAGTCGATTGCTTGGGTACCTCTGTCCCATTCGTATTTCAACCGTGAAGCAGTTGTGTTTGCATGGCTGTGTTTCGGTTTGAAGGGTGGGATATGGCGTGAATTTACTAGGTACAGAGGAATAAGACCTGAGTCTTCAGGAATGGCAACGCATAGGGGGTATCATGGGCGAAACAGTATACTCTATTATGTCCATGGTACTGCTCATGTCTATAAGCGACGGTTACCACTTTCCATCAGGTGGGCCGTTAGCTTGTTTGCCATTCTAAGTTGCATTAAAAAAAAGACCAAAATTACCGACATCACTCAATGAATTTGCAAGCTTAAGTAATAGTGGACTGGTCATAGCTTCCGTAGAACCGATAACTCTTGGAGTAGACATTTGGAATGGAGATCGCGAATTGGCAAGTGTAGTGTAGGACGATCTACGGCTAGGTGAAGCGACGACATACGTAGATAAGATACATGAGATGTGTTATAAAAGTAGATAAAGCTCAAGAGATATCTACGGATTCAGTATTCGGGTCTTTTTATGAAACTTAGAATGGCAAAAAAGCTGTCTCCCTGCTTACCCTACAAAGAAATAAAAGTGAAGATAGACATAATATGATAACGGTAGTTACTTGATTTTGCACCTAGATGTCACAAGTTCTCTAGTACAAAACGGTAGTCATTCAACTCAACAGTGAATAAGTAGGTGTGTCAATCGTTATATATATAAAAAAATCCCATAAATAATTATGTGAAGGCACAATCTGCGAAGCGCTATAGCGACAGTACAATTGACCTTAGAGTTATGTGGCTGCACCTAGTGATGTGCTTATTCAGACTGAATCGAGTACTGACTGTACGAATATGAGCTTTGGTACATAATATTCGAAAATTATGTTTAATTAGCAACGGCACGGGCTACGTACGATTTTTTGAAAATAAAATACAGCCTAGGTCATCCGCTCAGAATTTAGTATTCTATAAATTAACGAATGTTCAAAACCGGTAAAATATTTTTTTTATTTTATACAATATACTCGTAAGACACTTTTTTTTTGTAATATTACTCTAGATTACTAAAAGAAAACGATAATATTACATGACTATTTTAATTTCTGTATTTTAATCGAAATTTTTATTCTATTCTTCTGAAGTAACGTCACCCTCATTTTGTATATTATTTACAACGCCTTTTAATACAACTGTAGGTCATAGAAATATGTTTTTACTTTTTTTTTTCACTCTATGTTATCATGTAATGTAAATTTATTTTGACATCAAAAATAAACTTTATAAATTAAATTAAAAAGTACTCGATTCTGCTCGAATACTGAAGTACTCAAATACCCACCTATACCAAAGATCACACTAATATTTTAGTACTTGT